TTTTAAATATATCTATTTATACTTGTTAGAAATTGAGCGCCCATGTGGCATGATCCTTTAAACCTTTTTGAACCTTATCCAAATAAGTTTGAATTTGAATTCAAAACTTATTTAGATAACCACTCAGGATATCTATATTTATCATATCAACTGATATAGATAGATGATATAGATATCTTATATATCTGATATGATATGGGATATGGTTAATCAGAAAAAACAAGGTATGTTTTATATTTTTTCCCATGTACTGACTCTCTCCCAAAAACAACAATCAAGCCATTTTGCACTGTGACTTGTGTGGGTGATATTCATTTTGTAATATCACTCCACTGCTGGGTTGGTTGTTCACTTTCTGAAAGTACATGATTTACCCACGAGATCCTTCACTTCAGACTCTGCTAAATGGTATGTAAATCAAATTAATCATCCGCTGCGTCTTATACTTTGATTTACATTAGTATCAGAGCATGAATGGGTATTTTCGTGTTTTCTTTAATCATGTGTATATTTATATATATATATATATATATGTACACATTATTTCTTTTGACAAACAAAAACGCATCTATTTTTGTATTGAGAATTTGAGTTCAAATAGTATATCAATCACAATGATATAATTGAGACTTGCTTATTGTTAAAATTAAATTTTCTAACAAAACTTATTGTTAAATTCAATTAGATAGTTTTTATATATTTATCGTTAAGTTTACAGTACAGATTGGGAGGGTCCAATTTTTTAATTAAATAACATCCCTATAAATTTTATAATTTTTAAGTGTATTCACATTAAATGGATTTGAAAAGTGAAAAATGTTGATTAAATTTTTTAAAAAAGTTCACTAAAAATAATAAAATACAAATTGAAAACTTAAAAACTGTTTTTGGAAACTCCATTTGAAATTTGTAAAAACTATTTTATACAACCAAACAAAATTTCAAGCTTGACAAACGCTTCTCAAAAATCTAATTATAAAATTAATTTGAAAATCCAAAACCAAACGGACCATCTATTTATATTTTGACCTCAATATTTTTTGCAACAAATTGGATAAATTATATTTTAACTCAATAATTTTACATTCAATTATATTTTAATTTCAACATTATTTTCATCGTGTCTAAAGATATGGACATACACTAGTATCATATATGCTAGTGTATGTGAGATTTGAGCTTATATTCTTAAAGAGTAGTGATTGGTAGCTCGAAAGAGCTCCCCCGAATTTCCCCCGAAACGAAAACGACGTCTTTTTGTTTTGTTTTGTTTTTTTTTTCATTTCAGAAGAAGAAGAAGAATTTCTGAAGAAGAAGAAGAAAATCAGAAAGAAGAAGGAAGAAAGGGAAGAAGAAGGAGGAAGAAAAGGAAGAAGAGAAGGACTGGAGGGGCCATCAACTAGGCGGAGGGGAGGCGGAGGCGGGGCGACGATCGGAGCTGAGCTGCGACGATCGGACAATCGGGGACGACGATCGGCGGGACGACGATCCCCCTCCATTCCTCTTCCCCTACTCTTTCTCTTCTCCTCTCCTCTTCTCTCCCTCTTTCTCTGTGTTTCGGGGGATTCGGGGGACGTTTTTTCGGGGGAAAAATCATTTCCCAAAAAAAAATTATAAGACCATGTGGGGTGCAATTGATTTTGTGATGGGAGTGCAAGGGAAAGTTTGTGGAGGTGCAAGTGTGACTTGTATCCCTCCATGCTTGTGCAAATTTTTTTTTTCTCCCACTAGGTTGTAATTTCCCTTTCATTTTATCTTCTATATATCTATTTATATTATTATATATGTGAGTACTAGACTTGGTGTCCAAGTGTTTGGTGGTTTCTCCATCTATCTATCTATCTATCTATCTACTCCTTTTGCCATGTGATAAATTTTTATATTTTTAAATATATCTATTTATACTTGTTAGAAATTGAGAGTCCATGTAGCATGACCCTTTAAACATTTTTGAGCCTTATCCAAATAAGTTTGAATTTGAATTCAAAACCTATTTGGATAACCACTCAGGATATCTATATCTATCATATCAACTGATATAGATATCTTATATATGGGATATGGTTAATCAGAAAAAACAAGGTATGTTTTATATTTTTTCCCATATACCGACTCTCTCCCAAAAACAACGATCAAACCATTTTGCACTGTGACTTGTGTGGGTGATATTTATTTTGTAATATCACTCTACTGCTGGGTTGGCTGTTCACTTTCTAGAAGCACGTGATTTACCCACGAGATCCTTCACTTCAGACTCTACTAAAAAGGTATGTAAATCAAATTAATCATCCGCTGCGTCTTATACTTTGATTTACATTGGTGTCAGAGCGTGAATGGGTATTTTCGTGTTTTCTTAATCATGTGTATATTTATATATATATATATATATATATGTACACATTATATACATGAATGTTTATAAAGGAGGAAGATGTCTACTCTCATTAGATTAAGAGCATAAAATACCTCTTTTTTGATGTTCATTAATGTCATTTTTAATACCATTAATGTATTTATTTTGGAAAATGGAGTCTGTCAGTACCAATATTGGACGAAAAAACACCCTGGAAGGCGGCGTGTGGGTCGCACGCGCCACTTGACGCCGTGAGGAACATTTGAATGAATGAATGCATGAACAAAAAGAAAGGAACATTTGAGAAGACAAAGAGATGTGGTTTGAAACTTTTCAATTGTTAAATTCTATTAATTAATAGTTATTATACTTTAATGGTTGGGTTTCTAATATTTATTAGTCATTTAAACTGAGTTCTTTGGTTTTATTTATATTCACTTGATAATTTGAGAGTGGACACGTATTAAGTCTTTACACAAATACTTGGCATATTTTTTTAGCATTATTAATGAAATGCATAGTGTAATTTTTTTTTTCTCTATTTTTTGCAACATGTTATTTTTTAATAAGAATTTATATTTATTTTAGATATTTTGTTGATACAAAAATTATTTTTTTTAGACTTTAATGAAATGCACAGTGTAATTTTTTTCTCTTTTTTTTTTTTTTTTTTTTTTTTGAAATTTTCATTTTTTTTTGCCAAACTAGTTTTTAATTTTTTTGATTTTTTTTTTTTTCCTAAAAGAAATTTTTTTTCTCTTTTTTTCCGCAATTGTAACATGTTATTTTTTAATAAGAATTTATATTTATTTTAGATATTTTTTAATATATAAATTATTTTTTTTTAGATTTTTTTCTAAAAATAATTTAACAATCTCATCACTAACTATAGTGTATGAGAGAAGTTGAAAATGGTGCGGCAGTAGGTATGGAAGAAATCAAAAAGGCTTGTGGATTGGGAAAAATCAATAAATGCTGAGGATTTTTTTTTTTAAAATCAAAATATTAGAAAATTAAGATTGTGATATTAGAGCTTCCTCAAAACTTGTGGATTAGAAACTTCATTTTCCTTATATAATAAATAGATATGCACAAACAAAATCAATCTAACCCATAAATTATACACAAAAAACAACATGCTTTTATCAATCACTATAAGAAAATTAGAGAAATAATACTTACAATCTGTTCCCAAAATCCTCTCTTTCTACTGTACTCGAGATTAATTGATGATTTAGAGGATTTCATATAAAATAAAATAAAAAAATAGAAACTATATATATATAACAATTGATGAAGGAATTCGTAAGGGAGAGAGAACATTACATTTAAAACAACTAAACACTGAAAATCACAAACCGTCACAGAATTGCAAGGTAAGAAGCAGTCCTAGAAGCATTGTTATTGATCATCACAATGAGAGAAAAAATAGGAAATTGATTTGAGAGTGGGTTTGCTGAAAAATAAATGAGCCATAAGTTTAGGGCTAAAATTTTTTGAATAAGGGGTCACTGCTGTGCGTGAAGCACAGCAGTGACTGTGGTGCCTCCATTGGAGGTGTATTATGGTCTTATTTTTATAATCCAAACCGTTCATTTTGTAGGGTTTGTTGAGTACTTATGCCTACCAAAAATTATATTAATCGGATATCAAAAACTATATGATCGACAACCAAAAAAAATAAATAATAAGTTTTATTTTGAGAAATAACATAAATAATATGCAATGCGATCATATAGTTTTTGATATCCGATTAATATGATTTTTGGTAGGCATGAAGTACTCAACAAACCCTACAAAATGAACGGTTTGGATCATAAAAATAAGGCCATAATACACCTCAAATGGAAGCACCACAGTCACTACTGTGCTTCACGCACAGCAGTGACCCCTTATCCAAAATTTTTGGGTCTTTTCATTTTAATATTTATGATAGCATTATATTTTTATTTAAAACATTTATACATTGTAATTAAAATCTTGAATTTACGGAATATTTCACATGTATGAAAAGCTATTAAAATAATATCAAATGTTATAAAAATTGAAATGTTATATTTTAGGATAAATTATGTAAATGGTCCATGTAGTTTATACGATATGTCAATTTGGTCCATGTTGTTTCAATTTTTTCGATTTTGCCCCTTAATTTAATAGATTGTGTCATTTTAGTCTAATGAATAACGATTGTTAAGTTTGGTGGACGGAAAGTCTACACAATGTGTGAATTTGGTCCAAATTGACACATTGTGTAAACTACAAGGACCAAATTGACAAAAAGTTTGACTTTTTGTCTACCAAACTTAACAATTGTTATTTAGTAGACTAAAATGATACAATCTGTTAAATTAAGGGATAAAATTGAACAAATTAAAATAACCTGGATCAAATTGACAAATCGTATAAATTACAGGGACTATTTATATAATTTACCTTATATTTTATTATAAATCACATTTCATAGCATTTTTAAAAGAATGTTATAAAAAGTATTTTTTTATTGTTGTAGTGTATCTAAATTGAGTGTAAATATAAATAATGTTTGGGTGGTAGTTGGGAGCTTGCAATTATGAAGTCATTCGTACACTTCTGTGTATCTATAAATCAGGCCCTACAGCTTCCATTGAATCCATCCCATCTTGTTTCAGTGAAGAAAGGAGTGGTATACTTCAAAATAGAGAAAAATGACTTCGATTAGTTGTCATCAAGATTTTCACACTCTGAAATTACCTTCCTTTGTTCACTGCCCAAAGGCCCATCTTGTATCCACCAGGTCCACCAGCTCCAGGTGAGTTTGTCGTTAGTTACTAGTTAGATATACTAATACACCAATATTTTCTTCTCTACCTCTAATATGTGGAAGTTTGTAATTGAATGAATATATCCTCTTGATATCATTTTTGTTATTGCTTTTGCATTTTTTGTTGTCAAAGATAGAGAAAACAGAAGCAAGCTGTGCATCGTGCTTATACTAGAGCTCTCCGGTTACATTTGAGGACTAGCAATAATTTTGCAATGGTTTGGTTTGTCACTCTTATTCAAATCATTGGGAAATTATTATATTTATTTTATTTTATTTTAGAGAATCCTAATCCTCCATTCAATAAATTAAGTTTATTTTATAACTCAGTGTTCTGTTCAGTTTGTGCGCAACTCGACTAATCTGAGAGTTTTGAAGTTAAGGACTGGGCAATCCTCCCATGGTTCCTTACGGTGACTTGAATTCAAGACCTTAAATCTTATTCTCAAGACTTTATGACTCACTCAACCCCTAGGAGTCGCAACAAATTAAGGTTTTGAAGACAAAAATTTATCACTTTTTCATAACAAAATATTTTTATTGTCAAAGTGTTATTATTGTATTTATAGCGATGAAATTAGATATTTAATGATGAATTTACAATCTATTTGGCACCATTTATTATCCCTAAAAGTACATTTATTAGCTATACTTTTCAAAACTACCTTTTAGCGATTATTCTTACGACAATAGAAATTGATTCTCAAATATTTTTAAATTTTTATTTTGAAAATAAAATAATTTAATCTCTAAAATTCTTATTTATTATAATGCAGTGCCTATATATTCTTATCCATTAAATTTCCCAAACACACATAAGAATAAGAATAAATATTTTGAACTATAGTACAGAATGTCTGGTGCTATATATATTAAATATTTTGAACTATAGTATAGAATGTCTGGTGCTATATATATTGTGTATATATATGTGATGTCTAAAAAAGATATATGGTAAAAATTGGACATTTTCAAAAATTTAGCACATCTTCCTAATTCATCAAATTATCCAAAAGTTTATATGAAAAAATTATGAAAACATCGTTTTTTCACCACGGAGGAACAACATCACTATTCAATAAAATAACAAAAGTAGATTCATTTTAAATCATGGAGTAATGCCATTCAAGCTTAGAAATTAGACTAATTTTTAATTTCTTCAAACTCAATGATATGACAGTGTATTAAAGTCTATCATTTTCCTAAATCACTTGAAAACATGAATTTTTATTTTTCAATGATATTCCACGATCGAGATAGTTGACTGGAACAAACGGTTTCATAGAAGTTCATTACATATTTTTTTTTGAATTTAGGGAAGCGGGTAATTTGAACAAGCTTCTTGGTCAGAGACATGATCACAGAAGAAGCACTTCCAACAGAGAAAAATGGGCATTTAATGATGAATTGCTATATTTTTTGGGACCAAATTGTCTCAAAAATTAAATATTTTTTTTACAATTTATTTTGATATTAAAAATATATTTATTAGTGTTATTTTCAAAATTTTATCACTAATTTTTTTTTTTATTTTTTAAAACAATCTTATATCCTCGCGATAACAGGAATTAGGTCTCGTTTGAGAACATCACTTTTTAGTCTAAAAGTCAAAAAGTCATCAAAAAAATAAAAAAGCCAACAACTTATACCAAAAAGTAAAATATTCCCTTTTCTCTCTATTTTTTGCACATCATTTAGTAAAAAATCAAAAATTCATCCAAAAATTGTGTTTGGTTTGTGTTTGTAGAGTAATTTTTGAGATAAAAAGGACGAAAACTTGTTGGGTTTGCCTTTTTTTAGAAATGATTTTGGAAAATTATTTTGGAGAGAGAGTTTTAAAAAAAGTGATTGATTGATTTGATGTGTACGAGACAGAAAGTGATTTTGAAAAGAAGCAAACCAAATAAAATTTTGAGATTTTTTTAAAAAAAATTTATTTGGTTTGATTACTTTTGAAAATTTGTTTGTAGAGAACTTTACTCAAAAAATTTTTCCAAAAACAAACCAAACAAATTTAATTTTTTTAACATAACATTTTAGTTAAAAAATTAGAAAGTAACTAAAACAATATGTTCCCAAACGAAACTTTAATCGTCAAATATTTTTGACAATAAAATTTTTCCTTTTAAGAACTAAAGAGTTTGATCGTTAAAACTCATATATTGTCCGCACAAAATAATTTGACACCTACTGTCCCAAAAAACAGAAGCTATTATATATATATATATATACTATTGTATGCTACTATTTGAACCATGAGAGCTTGTTGGAGTAGTAAGTCATAATCCACCATCTCTCTCTCTCTCTCTCTCTCTCATAATTTATTTTTGTAGGGAGGCACTGCCAGGTAATTTGGAAAAGCCTCTCGGCCATGCGCTGAAGAAGCCACAACATTCTGTATCAACAGTAACTCATTCAATGCCTCCAGAAAAGATAGAGTTGTTCAAATCCTTGGAAGACTGGGTTAAAACAAATGTGTTGATTCACCTAAAACCAGTTGAGAAATGCTGGCAACCACAACACTTTCTTCCAGACCCGACATCGGATGAATTCTTAGAACAAGTGGTGGAACTGAGAGAGAGAGCAATGGAGCTGCCAGACGATTATTTTGTAGTATTGGTCGGAGACATGATCACTGAAGAAGCTCTTCCAACTTACCAGAGCCTGCTTAATGGGTATGATGGAATTGCGGATGAAACAGGGTCAAGCCTCAGTCCTTGGGCTGATTGGATAAGGGGATGGAGTGCTGAAGAGAACAGGCATGGTGATCTTCTCAACAAGTACCTCTATCTTTCTGGTCGTGTTGACATGAATCAAATCGAGAAGACTGTCCAGTATCTGATTGGGTCCGGAATGGTAGGTTCTTTACCTTTCTTATTTATCCCTTTCCTTGCACAAACTTGCCATCTCACAAATTCATTACTTTCACTTTGTTATGGCATGGCTGCCCATTTCATTTTCGAATGGTGTAGTAATATATAAATAAAAAATAGTAATATTAAGTATAAATAATTGGAATACAGAAACTGTATTGTATTATAGATATTCACCTTGAGTAAGATATGGGTCACACTTTAAATAATTTCTCACAATACAATTTTTGTATTCTTTTTGTGTTCCAATTATGTGCACTCAGTATTACATAAATGTAATTTTAGACAAATCACTGCAACACATAATGACATGTGAAATTTTAATTGATATAAAATTTTGAAATTTTGGCAATTTGAATTGAGATTTTTCTTGGCGAAGACATCATAGAATTTTATATATAAAATTTTGATTCATGCTACTGTTTATACTTTTAATTTTTAATTTTTTTATTTTTTTTGGTACGATGTTCTTCATATATTTTCATATACAGGATATTAAGACGGAAAACAATCCATATCTAGGAATGGTTTACACATCATTCCAAGAAAGGGCGACATCTATTTCTCATGGTAACACAGCCAGGCTTGCCAAATATTACGATGACATTAACTTAGCACAGATATGTGGTACAATAGCCTCTGATGAGAAGCGTCATGAAACTGCTTACACCAAGATAATGAAGAAGTTGTTCGAGCTTGATCCTGATGCTTCTGTCATAGCATTTGCTGACATGATGCGGAAGAAAATTACTATGCCAGCTCACTTCATGTATGATGGCCATGATGATGATCTGTTCTTGCACTTCTCAACTATTGCTCAGCGGCTTGGTGTGTACACCGCCATGGATTATGCTAATATATTGGATTTTTTGGTGGACAAATGGAATGTAGAGAAGCTTAGTCCACTCTCTCCTGAGGGACGAAAGGCTCAAGATTATGTTTGCGGGTTAGGTCCCAAAATTCGAAGGTTGGAGGAGAGAGCTCGACTGAAATCCAAGGAAAGATATGCTATACCATTTAGTTGGATTTTCAATAGATCAGTGAAGCTCTAAGTAAAATAAAGGACTTGTTATTATTATTATTATTATTAGGGCTCTGCTCTAAACCATTACCAGTATATAGTAACACAAACTACTAGTAATGTACGTATGTATGCAGCGGGAGAATCAAATGTATGAAGGAAGCGGCACAACATAAGTGATAATTTCTCAAACTCTACTATTGCAGTACTTTTTCAGAATGTGATTGAACATGGGTTTATAAAAGACAACTTGAATATGTTTATGCAAAATGCCCTAGACGCCCAAGTGGGGTAACCCCCACCACTCCTATTGGTTTTTGATTGGCTCAAATTTTTTTTATTTTTTTTATTTTTTCAATCTTGCTCTTATAGCAAGACGTGTGGAGCGGGGGGTGCTGGAGGTCACCCCCACTGGGTCCCCAGCACAGTTGTATGTTTATATAATAAAATTTTATGTTAACTAGTACTCTTAAGGTCGTGTTTGTTTTGGGTATAAAGGGTGAGATGGTATGTTTATATAATAAAATTTTATGTTAACTAGTACTCTTAAGGTCGTGTTTGTTTTGGGTATAAAGGGTGAGATGGGATCAAGGTGGAGGTGAGACGCATTTAATATTGTGTTTGTTTGTAGATTTGGAAAAGGAATTGAGATAGAGGTGGGGATTAGGTTGGGCCTTGGAAGGAGGATTGGGATGGAGGAAGTGGAGGTGGTATTAGAAAAATAGTCTGTCGGACTAGAAATTTTTTATTTTATTTATTTATTTTTTACATGTTGGGCATTTTTTTTAAACATTAATGTTTAATTTTTTGTATTTTTTGTTAAGTAAAAATCATCGTTTTATTTTTTTATTTTTTTTGGATTTTTTTTATAAAAATTTTGTACATGCTCGCCATTTGTTTTTGAACATTTTTGTTTTATTATTTTGTATTTTTTTATATAAAAATAATTGAACAATCCCTATAGTAACAACTATCATCAAAACAAACACAATTTTACTTAATTCCCTCACTATTAAGCCTTTTCATTTTATCTCTGAAAACAAACAGGACCTAAGCGTATTAGTTTAAAATACATTAAATGAATTCAACTACTTCCATTAATATAGAAATCAAAAGGGATTAAAGAAAGAATAGTGTAATTGAATTTTTTTTTTTTTGACTTTTTCACTATTTTAATTAAAAAAAAAACTTCACCCTAAATAGGACCTAAGTTTTACACACACTCCGTTAACTTTGTGACGGATGCCAATGTTGGAATTCATGGCTTTTATAGACTTATTTTGGACTAATTTTGATTCAAAATTTGAAACGTCTTTTGGGGTGGGTCCAAAGAGGTAACATGTTCCTTGCCACATGGCGAGTCACACAGTGAAGACGGTACGTTAAAACTATTTATGAGTGAATGGGAAGTTGACGTCATTTTCGGATTCGTTGAATGGATAATTAAAGAAGTGAAATGTGGGTTTCCTAGAAATGGTTATCCCACACTGGAAACTTAAGAAAATTTATGTATGCATATAAGTTCTAGGTGGCAGGGTTGGGCTTCAAGGGGCACCCCAAGTTTTTAGAAGGGAGGAGTTATGGAGAAATTGAACCTTGGCTCAAACCACCACACACGCGTGCCGCAATCCGTCCGGCGGGGTTGGGCCGAGCCGTGCCGGGCACGGGTGTGAGTTGTGGGTCGAGTCGGTTCTAATATTAATTTTTTAGACAAAATTTATTTGAATATTTTCAAAAATTCTTGCAGAAAATTATTTAATTTTCTTAACAAAATTAATTTAATTTTTTTTGGTCCAAAGCTGTGCCTCTTCTGGTCCAATTTCCAACTGTTTAAACTGCTCTAAACTGCCCTACAGTTCCGGACAGAGTCAGTTTCTTCAAGATAGGTTTGAGACTGCCTAGGTAGCTATTCGTTCAAACAGATTTGAAACTGCCCACCAGTTATCTGTCCAAAATTGTTTTGCATCTGTTGAATTCAAAAACCTACTTGTTCGGTTTAAATTTCAAACCTGTTCGGCCCTATAAATATCTAGACCATTCCAACAGATTTCCATATTCGAAATTCACTTGTTTCCTTCTAGTTTTTGTTCTCTTGCATAGTTTTATTCTTCATATTATTTCAGGAAAAATTTGGAGAGTATAGAACACAGGTTTTGTTCGCCGTACAAATTGTTTGGAGTGCTACTACAATTTGTGAAGATCATTGTATCTTGGGAGATAGACGCCGTTTATCCGTAAGCACCGTAACAAGGCGAATCTGTCTTAAGGATAAAGTGTCACACACTCGACTTGATTTTTTAAATATTTATTCGGTTTGGTAAATAAATTCTGTAAGTAATTTATTTTATTTGTTTGTTTTGGTTTCAACTTATTTATTTTACATAGAAAATTGTTGCTACAATCTTAAGATAGATTCGAATTATTCTGTTTAAACAAAATTTTTTGTTTGTTTCCTTTCTTCTTTTCTTCTTCTTACAGAAATTATTTTTTGTGGTTTTAAAAATAATATTCTGGTTAGAAAAACAAATAGTAGTAATATATTGTTTGAAAAATAGTAGTAATATATACTGTTTATTTTCTTTGACAACTAGTAGTAATATACTGGTAGTCATTAACAATTCAAAATATTTATTTGTGAAGTTGGTCAGAAATTAATTTTGATTTTCAGAAATAATTTCTGAATTTTCATTAATTAAAATTCTGTTTTCAGTATTTTAATTTTTGAAGTGTCACAGAAATATTTTTCTGTGTGCAATTAATTTGTTTAAATAAAATTTTATTTTATTTTAAAATTAATTGGAAATAAAAATTACAATTCTTATTTCTTTTATTTTTACAGAATTTAATTCTTTGATTTTGGTTTAAATTTTCTGTGTAGTATAAAATTATAATTATAATTTTGTTTTATAATTTAGAATTCATGACTACTGAAACTAATGCTCAAACAAGTACTGGTATGGTGACTGAAATTGCAACAACCCCTCCTATTGTGATTGTGCCAGTCAATTACAATGAAAAGCTAAAGATGTTCTTAGGAACTGATTGACAGCAGAAAATGTTCTTATCTTACTACTCTAAACCTAGTGCGTTTCCTCCGTGAAAATGCTCATATTCTGAAAAATGATGAAACTGACCAGCAAATGGTTGCTGCGATCGATGCCTGGAAACATGTTGATTTCCTTTGCCGAAATTACATCTTGAACGAACTTGACAACACATTATACAACGTCTACAGCCCTATCAAGACGCAAAGGAACTTTGGAAGTCTTTGGAGAAAAAATACAAAACAAAAGATGCTGGTTCAAAGAAATTTGTGGTTGCCAAATTTTTGGATTTTGTGATGGTTAATTCTAAGACTGTGATCAGCCAAGTTCAAGATCTCAAACTCATTTTGCATGACATTCATGCAGAAGGCATGTCTCTCAGCAAATCCTTTCAAGTTGCTGTCTTAATTGAAAAATTACCATAAGGCTGGAAAGAATTCAAGAACTACCTCAAATACAAGCGCAATGAAATGACTTTAGAGGAATTGATTGTGTGTTTGAGGATTGAGGAGGATAACCGCAATTCTGAGAAGCGGGTTGGTAAGCATCCTATGGAGTCTAAGGCTAATGTAGTAGAACATGCTCCAAAAGCAAAGAAACAAAAGTTTTCTGGAGAAAGTTTTGCACAAGGCTCTAAAGGAAGGGAAACTAAAAAGTACAAGTTCAATGACAAATGTTACATCTGTGACAAAGAAGGACATCAGGCCAAAGATTGCCGTAGCAAGCGCAAAGGCAAAGGAAGATCAAGCAAGAAGCCTACTCAAGCTAATATGACCGAAGTAGACAAAATTTCCAATGGTGTAGATGACATAAATCTTTTTGCAATTGTTTCCGAGGCAAACCTTGTCGGAAATCCTAAAGAATGGTGGGTCGACACTAGCACTACTCGCTACATCTGTGCAGACAAAAAGATGTTCACATCTTATTCTATAGTAGACAACGGTGAACAACTTTTCATGGGCAACTCCCCGACTTCTAAAGTTGAAGGACAAGGAAAGATTATTCTAAAGATGACATCTGGAAAAGAACTCACTCTCAACAATGTGCTACATGTACCGAATATTCAAAAGAATCTAGTCTCTGAATCTCTGTTGAGTAAAAATGGGTTTAGGCTAGTGTTTGAGAGTGATAAGTTTGTACTTACTAAGAATGAGATGTATGTAGGAAAATGTTACATGTCTGATGGCCTTTTCAAAATGAATGTAATGACTATTGTACCCTCTGTTATTAATAAAGATATATCTTCTTCTTACTTGCTTGAGTTTTCAAATTTGTGGCATGGTAGATTAGGACATGTTAATTATGGATCTTTGCGTAGATTAATTAATATGGAATGTTTACCTAGATTTAACATTGATTTAAATCATAAATGTAAAATTTGTGTTGAGGCAAAACTAACTAAAACTCATTTTCATTCAATTGATTGAAGTACAGAGCCACTTGAATTAATTCATAGTGACATTTGTGATTTTAAATTAATTTAAACTAGAAGTGGAAAAAAATATTTTATCACTTTCATAGATGACTATACTAGATATAGTTATATTTATTTAATTCGAACCAAGGACGAAGCTTTGGAAACTTTCATTCAATATAAAAATGAAGTTGAAAATCAACTTTGTAAGAAAATTAAAAAACTTAGAAGTGATAGAGGTGGTGAATATGAATCACCTTGTGGTGAGTTTCGTAAAGAACAATAATTCATCAAACTACCGCTCCTTACTCACTTCAGCAAAATGGAATTATTTAAAGGAAAAATAGGACTTTAAAAGAAATGATGAATAATATGTTAATCAGTTCTGGATTACCTTAGAACTTGTGGAGGTAAGCAATACTTTCTACTAATTATATTCTTAATAAAGTACCCCGAAAGAAAGTGAATCAAATACCTTATGAAATGTGGCATGGAAGAGTACCATCCTACAAATACTTAAAAGTGCGGGGGTGTTTGGCTAAAGTGACTATTCCTAGTCCTAAAAAGACTAAGATAGGTTTTAAAACTGTTGATTGCATTTTCATTGGTTATGCCAAGAATAGTAGTGTATATCGGTTTTTTATTCATAAGTCAGAATATTCCAAAATGCATGTAAATACTATTATTGAATCTTAGAATGCATCGTTCTTTGAACATATACTTCCAAACAAGAC